TGTTATGTCGGCTCTCTCGAAGTCGCTGGTCGTGCCATTAACCGTGCAAGTGCGGGTTTGGTTACACTGACGTTACAGAGCCTGTGCTGGTGCAGTTTGTTGTGAACTGGCAAAAGCGCTTCCTGGCCGCCCAAAGTGGAGGTCACCCTGCCCCTCTCCGGCCGCGGCCCCCCCCACTGCCTCCCGGGCCGCGCGGGGAGAGTCCGCCTGAGGCGCGCGTCAGCGGGTTTAAAATCTCCTGTCGCACCGTAGCACATCACAGGTAGCCAATTAGTACCAAATGGTGTTGCTGACAGGTTACACTGACCTGTTGGGTTGTACCCTGCAGTGGTCTTGGAGGAGAGGCATCCTTTCAACTGTCGGTGCTGTCAAGGGAACAGCCATTGGCGTTAGGATGCCATGGATAGCTGGTGTTTTAATTGGATGTTACTGAGGCCTCAGCCCAGCTACATGTGGTATTGCTGATGTCCTTGACGAGGCGTTTTAAGGAATCAAGTGTGTAAACAGAACGTAGCGGCTGTAAGACTATTTTTGCTTAAGCTTTGTAGGAGTAATCTTATGAGGTTCAGGTTGATGTAAGAAACGAAGCCTTCATTTTGACCTCTCCTCCTTGCAGGCTGCAGAAGATGTCAATGTTACTTTTGAAGATCAACAGAAAATTAACAAGTTTGCAAGAAATACTAGCAGGATTACAGAGCTGAAAGAAGAAATAGAAGTGAAAAAGGTATATTTGCTTCAAATGTCACTCATTTTTCATTGCCCCGAATAAATTTTCAGCTGTGCCACAGTAAATAGGGACTGTGGATTACTGTAAGTAATGCTTTTGTTCCAATATGGAATTTCTGATACTTTGAAAATAGCCAGAGAATGTTAAAGTGGAAAAAGAAGTCATGAGAAATAAAGGCCACTGGTCTATATCTCCATGCAGTTTTTAGAAGTCCTTAGTTGTCATATATGAAACATTGTCTGTATATAATGGCTCTTTGTAATGTTTTTAAAAGTTTCTGCCTCAGATTGTTTATATTTATTTTTTCTTGAACCAGTAAGGTAGTTGTTTGTTGTTCTTCTTTTGATGTATTGACAGAAATTGTCACTATGAGTGCAGAGGTTTTCTTTTGGTAGGCTGAAGAGGATACATCACTTTAATTTTCTTTTTTAGTATTAATTCACTTTCCTTCAATGTCAGTCATAGCATTTCCAAAGAAGTTTTACAAAGTTTTTTAAAAATGCTAGTAATATCACAAGATGTTTTCTATAATTAGTTTGCCTGATATATATACTATAAAAATGTTGCCTTTTTATGTTGATGTTCCATTGATGGCTTAAAGTGCTGGGGCTCTGTACAATCCTACTTTTGCAATGAAGTAATTAACGTTTGCCATCTTATTTATTGTTTTTTTTGTTTTCTCTCTAAATAAAAAAATCCTGTGGAAGACCAGATCAGATATTAGTGAAATTTAAATCTGCTGTATTTCCCTTGTCTAGACAGTTAATTATCCTATTAATGACAGATAATGAGTACTGACTAGAAATTTCTGCTGGTACAGCTCCATTGAATTTAATACTTATGCTAAATTACAGCTCTGGAACTGTTCTATTAAGCATGTTGATATCATGCTGGTGGGTAGGATTTTTGCCCAAAATGTGGACTCACTGAGTTCATTATTTGACTGATAGCGTGACAATGTATCCATTGAAATAATTTACCTAGTACGAAGTGACCACCTTTGTTATGTCTTGATAAATAGAAACAACTTCAGAATTTGGAAGATGCTTGTGATGACATCATGATGCTTGATGATGGTGATTCACTTCTGATACCCTACCAAATCGGGGATGTCTTCATTAGTCATTCCCAAGAAGAAACGCAAGAGATGCTGGAGGAGGCAAAGGTTTGTCAGGGCAAAAATGGGAGCTTCTTTACTGTACTGGTTGCTGTAGTGTGATAAACACTGGAATGGGTTGATCTGTTCATCCTTTGAAGCTTTTACTTTCTAAAGTTCACATTCGATTTATGGGTTGAGAAGAGGGATGTTCATGCACAGTAAGTCATAACTGGGATGTCAGTATACAAAGTCCTGCTGGTCTTGGTCTTTGTTTGGCCCTGTAATAAGTCTTACATCCTGACGTGGCAAAAAGTTGGCAAAGGGGTACCTCCTTATTGTTCATATGTTGCTGACAAACATGACTCAGATTGTTTTACATTACTAGTTGATTATTTTTTTTTTCTTTTTCAGAAAAGTTTACAAGAAGAAATTGAAGCATTAGAATCCCGAGTGGAATCAATTCAGAGGGTGTTATCTGACCTGAAAGTTCAGCTCTATGCGAAGTTCGGAAATAACATAAATCTTGAGGCTGAGGACAGTTGAAGGTGTTCTAAATATACCATACAACTTTCCTTTATTCACTAAATGTTTTGATAACATTGTTCCCATTACATTTAAAAAAAATCCACTTTTTTTTTACTTTCCTGTCTTGAGTTCCATTTATTTAATGAGAACTTCCTTACTTTGATTTTTGCAGTTATTTATTTGTTCAGGAAAGCATTAGCTTCGTACTGTTGGTAAAAGATCAAGATTGGAATATTTGCATTGCTTATTACTTTAATAAAGTCAGGCACATATTGTAGTTTCCTTGGTCTTGTTTTCCATTCATGAAAATACTAAAAACAATAGAAATGGAGAATTTTTGATTTGCACTGTAATGGCTGATTGATAAAAGTTTCTCTGTAATATAGAGGGCATGATTGAGCTGTAATGTTATTTAGCTGTTTTTAGCAGCCTTCCTGGAAATACTAAATCTGTCCTTTGTCTTTCAATCTTAGCTCAGATAGCATAAACACGGTTAGCTCAGTGCACAACGTGGCAGCAAGTTGACAGGGGAGAAAGGAGGGCTCTTTAAAGCTCCCGTTGGTATTGAAGAAAAGCTTTTGGAGTCACAGTCGTGTTCAGGCATTTACTACTTTGTATTTGGGAATTACAAAAGATGCTGTAAGTCAGAATGGTGAGTCTTAACTTCTCGTTTTCCTGAACAATCACTTTCTAAATCCACGTTTATATACCAAATTAATGTCAGAATTGTTCATAGATGATGTTGCAATGTCAGCACCAATCCCTGGAACTATGCCTCCATCACTACGTGGGAGTTGAATGTAATTTTTAAATGTCTTAATTTGCTGACTCCTTACATCCTTAAAAAAAAATATGTACTGTCTTGCTGTAATTCTACTTTTGGACTTTTGCCTGCTTTGATTAATGTATTGTTCCATGGAAATGCCTGCTCATTATGACTTCATTTTTAAAAATTAAATCTTGGTATACTTAAATCATCTTTTTAAGCTATTTTCCAAAAGAGTGTGGACAGAGAATTCAGTTGGCCAAATACTAATCTGCAGTCGCTGTTCTTAATATAAATAACCAGAGTATGAGATGAGTGTATTTTTTGTAAAGTCATTAATATCTACCTCTCGTGTCAATTGCGTATCATCTTTTCTTCAAACAGTGTGTGAAGGAAAAAAACCCACTTGGTTTCTCTATTATTGAAGTAGTTTAACAGGGTAGTGTTATCAAACTCCATCTTCAGTACACCTGAGCAGGCTCTCACTGGTGCATTGTTATTTATGAATTACAGCATTGTAACTTACATAGTTGTTTACAGAAGTTTATTAACATTGTATAGAAGGTGTAGCATAACCATAAAAGAAAACTGTCTTTGACAGTGAAGATCTAATACCTCAACACAAGCACTTGTAGTACATATATTATATGTTAAATGATGGCTGTGAGTCTCAGAAGCTGTGCTAATGTCCTCTCTAGCCCTGGAATTTCCCAAGTTTCTTTTCAGTAGAATTCCAATGGTTTGTATGCTTCTGCTGCTGGACATGTGTACAAACACCCTGGCTATAACTGTACAGATGTTTAACCTTGTTTTCTAAGTGGTTGTGGTTTTAATTCAAGCTTATGCCTCAGGAAAGAGTTTGAGTTTTTCCTTACTTCCTGAGTGAATACTTCAGCTACTCTTAGGTAAAATGTGGATATGGTAGCCATGGCAACACTGCTTCGCTCTCTGCCAGCCAGTGCTTGTAGGAAATCAAGCGTGTTGGGCCTTCAGGGAGATATAGGTGTTCCTCTACATAATTTCTGAACCCTCCATACAGTTTTCTGTGTGAGGTAAGCATTTGGCTTCAAACTACTTAGAGCAGTTCTGGATTGACCAATTACTGTTATTTTGCGTACTAAAGGGAGAAGAAGGTAGCCAGTTATTTGAGAGCAGCTGATAAGAGTATTGTGGACTTAGGTGGCGCAGCTTTGCCTTATCCTGCTTTATTAGATACAGCTCTTAGTCCAAAACTGTCTTTTGGGACAGTGCAGTTTGAGTGCTAAATAATGCAAGGTTACAGACTTAGGAGGTGCTGGTATCTTGAGTTTTTTTCTAAACAGCCAAACCATTCATTTGGTATGTTAAAGTAAACCATCCATTCCACTTGGCTTTATAATTATAAACCAAAGAGAATGTAAAAGACTTCTTTTTCCAGGTGAAAACTGAGCTAGTGATGGAGTTTGACCCATAGTGAGAATCATCCAGCAGATGGCATCAAAGAACTGGGAAACCCAATTTACGGTAAGCCCATGCCTAGGCTGTGAGCACCAGTGCTGATTTTAATAAAGTGAAACTTTAGCTGCAATGATCACATTCTCATTAATTGGTTGGTAACACTTTAAAAGTCACTCCGAACTGACTGCTGTGCCAGCTCTGCTGTTCTGAGCATACTCATGGCTGTGCAGACTGCAGGTATTTAAAAAGATTGTGATTTCCAGATAGGCCATAGTACCGATATGGCTTCATTATGGAAAAGAAAAAGGCAGCTAGTAAGGTTTAACCGTGATTCCAGTGGCAGCTATAAAGCTGATGAGGACCGTAGTGCAGTAAAGGACCCAAAGACAGAATGCTGTCAAGATGGGGAGAGCTTGTGTTATCCCTGCTGTTCTTTGGTATCCTAGAAGTAGTACCGTCCATGTGTACAGCCCTGGTGTTTAGGGAAGAGAAAGCTGCTCGAGTGTTCTTATGAATGCCAAAGGTCCTTCCTCTGCTGCTGGACGTCAGTCCTTTAGGGTTTGTTTTGTGACGCTATTCCCTTATTTTCTTTCTTTTTTTTCTCGTTATCATGCTGTTGGTATGTTTTAGGGATTTAACCAGGCCTTCCTGCACTACTAGAGTTTAGGATTTTGTGTATGATGCGTCTTTCCTGTTTGCTTAGTCCTTATTACAAGTTGTATGTCCACACAGCCTTGAAAATCTAGGTGCCTTTTTGCACATGTAAGGTCCAGTTCCCTTGTATGGTTTGGACAATTGTGTTTGCAAGTCAGGTAAGTAATTATGTAACAGACTTTTTTCAGATTAGTCTCTGGATTTTTGTAGTTTATAGAACTGCTGCCACAGGCTATCATTTGATATTTTTATATGTGTAAAATAGAATGTGCAAGAAACTTTTTTGTTCATAAGTTGTCATTGTAGACGTTGATTTGCGGATTGTCCATCAGTTGCTTGAAAGTATTTAATAGAGTCCTAGTTTTTCCTTTTAATAACCTTTCTCCTGCCTAGTGAATATATGCAATTGTTTTTCAGTTGCATTTATTCTGTTTAGTGCCCCATCTTCTAAGTGCTTTTTGTTTTCAGTAGGTTGGAAATTTCTGTTATCTCTAATAATGTTTGCCTTACAGTTATCTTCAGATAATATGACTCCATGAAACAAAACCCAATCCTCTGTGCACCTCTGTACGTGTCATGAATCATTTAGCTGCAGTTGACAATATACAGTTTTTAATATCGTTGTCAGAATGAAAATAGTTCACTGCCATTCTCTGTATTGTGAAGGGAGTGACATTTGTAAAGCACTTCGAAGATGAAATGCACTGTAAAGGTGTGAAGTGTTAATTTAATCTAAGGGCTTCATTTCGGGCATTGGGCCAATGATGTCTTATTATCTCTTAGCAATTGAATTACTTATTCAGCTCCATCTTTGTATTAAAATACAGTTTCCGTACTGGTTTTGTTTTGCAAGTCATAGAGCCACCAGTGGCTGGCTTTTCACTTGGATGCAGCAATTAAAGCAGGTAAACTAGCAAAACTGCAGCCAGTGCAATACAGTTTATTTCAGTGCATGATGTCAAAGAGACTTAACTTACAGTTTTTCAAAGTAGCCTGCTAAAAACTGTAAAACATAGTAGGACACAATTATTATACGTACTGTATTTTCAGGGGTTTGTTTGTGATTTTGTATCTTGTCAGCTGATACAAGAATGTTTTCCACATGATGATCTGTAGCATAACCTTTGGCAGTGGAACCTTTGTTATTGCTCATCGCTTTTGTATGGAAGATCCTTGGATACCATTACACTCCATAATATAAATGTGGCTGATAATCAGTCAATAATTATAGGATGTGGTGTGTAGCCAAAGTACAGATAATTTTGTGGTATTAACTATCACTTCAAAGAGCAAAAAGAAATTGAATGCTGAATACTAAGGCCATATTTTCCATAGGAACAACAGAATTAAGTAGTTTGGTTTGCATGAATCAGTGGTTCAGATAAATTATCTAATGTTATTCTAATAGTCTGATTCATGAAAGAGAAAAAAATGTGGATGTATATAGGCATGATAAGACAGAAATTATTTACAACCAAGTTTGTCCTTATATTGATTGTATGAGTCATACTGAAAACCAAATTATTTTGTAATTAAATGTTAGCTGCTGATCGGACTGCACAGAACGCAGTGCACCAAACACATTCGTTAATAGCTATGAAGGATTCCGTCAGCAAGAGATGAAACAGGTCTACAGATAAGGGGGACTGCATCCAGCTGTTAAAGAGCTGTAACATAAAAATTATAAACTTGAGTAGAACATTAGCCATTTACTGCAGATTTACAAAAATCTTTTCTTTGCTGTCGCTCTCCAAAGCTGGTTAGTATACTGTGACTTTGATCTCAGTTTATAAACTTCAAGTATCATTAGGTGACCCTCCGTACTTGTGCCAGCAAACCCCTGGGGATGCTGAGTGGTGGCGTGTGGGGTTATAATGTAGGTTCATGAAAGGGATGCTTCAGGATAACCACTGTGGTCTGGTCTGGTGGTGTTACCACTTGTACAGGAGAGAGGAGAGACAAGATGTACTTCATACTGAAATACAGGCTTGACCAGTACTACACCTGGCCATTTCCTTAAGCTATTAGGAAAATTTCCTGTTTGCTTTCTCATCGCAGCCCAGCACAAGTGAGGAAAACCATTGTTCAGTGGATTTTTAGATTCTGTCAAGTTTTACCCATTGAAGCACGATACAGAAGTCCATCATATCATCAATGATTTTTCTTGGCTTGTTAACTGTAGCTAGTAGGATTGTGCATACCAGACTTAGAGTGCTCTAGAAGTTACAACACTTTTTCATTATATTTACAGTTGAAATTTCTACTGTCTATTAGGTGTCTGAATAGAAATGTGAATTAAATCAGGCTTACTGGTAAGGGCTAGTCATTGAACAACCACAACCTATAGCACCCAAGTATAAAACCTGGCTGCCTTTGGGTACACAACAGTGGTAAATCAACTCAGATAAAAATTATTAATCTGAACGCACATGGCTAAGGAGTGATGGTAAATCTACAGCCAAGACTGTTTTTTATTAACACTTCGGGGGAAAATAATCAAACTTTCAGTTTCATTTCTGTTATGAAAACTTTCTTATCCACTTTCTTAATATTGCTATTAAAAGTTCATCCATAAAAGCTTTAGTTTGCTTTTGAAAATGTCTCCCAGCACTAATGTTAAACGTGACTGTGCTCATGTCACGGGGAAGTTTTTAAATTAAGACTTGTCTCTGCTTTGTAGGGGTTAAGCAGCACATACAAGAAAAACATATTAACACTTCTCTAAGATAAATACATTATGATAATTTATGTTCCTGAAAATAAGAGCAATGGATGTGTTTGAGATGTTCAGGATAGTGTTTATAGTGGTTGACTTTTGATGAGGGAAGCAAGGATAATGTCAGCTACAGATGGAAATCCTGGCAAATCCTGTGCTACTTATGTAGATAGCTGTGTTAAACCTCCTGTAAAAATGTGGCCCAATCACTTTACGTTTAACTTTTTTCTTTCGAGGTGCAAAGTCAAAAGCACTCACAGCACATTTTCCCCCTCCTTGGCTCATACATTTGTTTACATGAAAGAAACAGCAATTAGGAGATAAGAATTGTAAACAGATACATGGTTAGGTAGGTTAGTACAAACATCTCCCTTGGTAGTTGAAGTCAGGCATAGTCCTGGCTGTATCTGTAATTATTCTGCAGATATATAGAAATATTAGCAAACTGTTCATTTCACATTTGTTGCCGAGATCCTTCATGAAGGCAGGCCTCTAAACTCCACAGCACTTCTTCCACCTCCTTCTCCCCTCCCCAGCTACTTTTCCCACTGCCGGAGAGAGTAAATCTGCTAGGTTTATTGAAGCAAGGTAGGAGTACACAAATACATACAGACTAAGCAGATGGGACCGTGCTCGTGCATATGTTACAGCGCATATGCAGACAAATATTAAGAATTACTTTATTTTTTTTGAAAAAAGGCACAAAGTTGACTTAACTGTAGAAGAATTGTGGCTGCGATGACACATTTTATTATGGTCATGGTCTTTGATTTTTATGAAAGTGGTAGCAAATCCAACTGTAGAATTTATTTTACTAGCTAATTTATTCTACAACATTTGATGGAGCACAGTTGAGGATGTTTTTCTGTTCTTGTCACCCTCCAGCTTTGGACATTAGTGATACAGAGTAGCTGTATGACTGCTTGCAGATGTTACTGTGAGATCACTGTTGCAGAGGTTTTGCAGTTATTCTCTCCCAGATTACCCTCCCTGCAGTCCATTCCTACGTGATGTAGCCAGCGAGGAAATAGTGGTATTTATTAATAGCCAAGGAGTGCATTATAGCACTCATGTTTACCTGTACAGTCACTTCTCTGGCACCTCATTAGTGCAGATACAAAGTACCATGGGATGAAGAATTGGTGACGAGTGTTGGTTGGTTAGTTGTGGGTTTCTTGTTTTCTTTTTGTTTTTTAAGTTCTTGAAGAAGAAGTAACTAGAGGGCACAAAGTACAAGTTTATAGGTAGTTTTACATTGGATACAATATCTGTCAGACTTCAACAAAGTTAAAAAAAAATGGTATTCTACCTATATTGTTACTTTCTACTGTGGTAGCCACCTTTGTCTCAGATGAAACATGGAACTTTTATACTACTTTTAATGCTCACCAATCAGTATTTGCATTTCAACCACATGTACTATAAGTGACACTTAGCTGGTGCTTTGCATTTTTTACATCCAGCTCTAGCTTTGTGTGCTTTCACTTTTCCCAGACAAGACTGCTAAATAGTTGTTTGAATTTATAATGCTGTTTGGTGACATCAGCACAAGAATTTCACATCGGGTTGACTTTTATTTATTGTCATTGGCTAGAACTTCTTGACACATAATTTTATTGCCATTATATTTGATATGACAAACATCTAATAAAATAAAATTGTATTTCATTTTATATCAAAGCAAAGATTTATTTAATATCATCATGAAGTTTCAACTGATGCATGTTGCTATGACAACGTGCAGTAACTTTGTGGTTAGCATAGGAATTATCTCAAGAATTTCATGAGTTCCATGTCAGATATGAATACCTTGCAAAGCTTTCCTTATACTGAACAGGACACATGGGAGAAAGATCACAGGCTTTCTCTCTGCTCCTTAAATGCTGGTTTCAATTCTCTCTTATTTCAAAGGTGAAGTTCTTCTTGATGTCAAAGTTGATACAGAAGTTGGGAAATTTTTCAGAGTAATTTGTCTGTAACCTCTTATTTTTATTTGTCCTT